TTGAAATCCCATCTGTAGAAAATATCGACAAAATTATGGCACTAAAATTAAAGGCTTAATACATTCATCAACAGTATTATTGCTCTCTTACATTAAATCTGATAGATTTGTAAGTGAACATCTTATTCCACTAATCTCCTTTTCAAACCATGCCCCTCTTATAGTCCCAATGTCTGTTCTGAGAAATCTAGGCTTATCGGCTTATTTTACTGAACATTACAATATAAGGCAACCTCACTTTATATTTGTAGTTTAATATTAGAATTTATTTGAACATGTTTATGCACCAACCACTCCCCAAGCACACCCATGGCCACTTTCAACTGCAGCTAACCTCAGTTCTACATTTAAAGGTCTTTATTCCTTATATATTTTAATATGTAAATATGGGACATCAGTTTCTTTGAAATTGTGTTTTTTATTTGTTTTTAACTGTGCAACCAGTATTTATTGGTAAACTGTCGATAAAAACATAATCAATAACTCAAATTGCCCAACCATGACAAGGTGTCATCATTTAGATTTTTTGAAGTATGACCTCCTTATCTAGAATATGCAAAGAAACATTATATATCCAATAAAACATGTTTCACCCGTCTGGCTGCCGGACTAAGTCTATTGACAGGAAGACCAGGAAGCTGAAGATGATGCATGGTATGCTGTATCCGAGGGCTGATGTCGGCAGGCTCTACTTGTTAAGGAATGATGGAGGACGGAACTGATGAGTGTGGTGGATTGTGTGAGCATAGAGAAGAGGAGTCTTGATGGGTACGATTGTATGATGGTGAAGGTGGCCAAGAAACATGTCGTGGGAATGGAGCTTGGCTGGGACATACAAGAGGAAGGAGGAGAGGAGGTTCCAGGACTGAGAAGGCAAGCCGCTTCATAGGAAATTTCTGAAACACTGGAGGAGGCAGGGAATAAGACCTGGGAATGATTGAAAAATGGTGACTTGAAGAAGACGGAAGGGTTGATAGCAGCAACACAGGACCAGGCCCTGAGGAGAATGTGATGAAGCCCAGGATAGAGGAAGCCAATGCGTCTCTTTGTATAGGATGTGTGGGGAGAGAGAGGAGAGTGTATTTCACTTAGTTTTTGATTGCAGCAAGATGGCCCAGATAGATTACGAGGAAAGGCATGGCAAATTAGCCAAGGTAATCGGCTGGGATCTTTGTCGGAATTGAGGAGTGGCAGTCAAGGGGAAGTGGTAGGAGCATTTCCCAGAAAAAGTAATAGAGACTGAGGATGTTAAGGTACTCTGGGATTTCAATATCCAGACTGACCATGTTGTAGAACATAGGCAGCCAGATGTTATTCTAGATAGGGCTGAGGACTTGTGCCCCATTATAGATGTGGCAATACTAGGTGACACCAGAATTGACAGCAAGGAGAAGGAAAAGGTCCAGAAGTACTAGGATTTGGCAAAAGAGCTGTGGAAATTCTGCAAGGTCAGGTTTAAGGTCGTTCCAGTTGTGGTTGTTGCTCTGGGTACCATTCTCAGGTCCATTGAGAACATATTAACGAGATTGGCTCAGCAGTCAAGGTGGAATTTGCTGCAGAAGGTGGCTCTTCTTGGCACTGCTTGAATTCTATGGAAGTTGCATGAGATCTGAGGCTGGGGGAAATAGGTTGACTCGAGTTATTTCAACAGATAAGAATAAGATCTCTTATCTTGTGTGTTGCTATTATAATAATGATGAGTTGCCTGCTATGCAAATAATGAAATAACACATTTTACAACAATGCTGACCATTATGAAATTTGCCAGGTACAACCTTTAATTTGCATGGTTTCAGACATCACTCAGTGATTCTTAACTGTATGATTTGGCTTGATTTGTCTCAGGTTACTTTTACATGTAAACATGCATATTCTTTATTGTTTTGTTTTCCTGTTTATAACTGTAAATGTTGTCTTCTTTTCTCTGCAGTTGGATTTGAGCCACATGCAAATATGAACACAGCCCACCATATGCTCCTTTATGGTTGTGGTGATGTGCAAGTTTCTCCGGGGTTGTCATAGTAAGTATGCACATTTCACCAGTTTTCACAGTTAACTTTATATGTATGGTTAAAGATTAAAAAGCAGAAAGGGTATGCAGTCTCCTCTTTTCATGTGTGCTTTTGTGATACTTTGGTGTCATCAAGCTTCATGTACACAAAGATCACTGATATTTCATGTGCTTTATTCCAGTGACTGTGTTCGTATGGGTTCGTGCAGGGGAAAAGGTAACATACTGTTTGCCTGGGCAAGGAATGCATCACAGCCAACAATTCCAACAGGTACATGTATATGGATGTGTAGACACACATTATATATGTTGTTTCTCTTTTTTCATAAGTTTGTGAAGTGAAGGACCAATGCAGTGTAAAGAGCCAATGATTTCCCGTTTCAAAAATGGATATATTTCGTTTTGCCAATTCCTGAATTCTGCTTCAGAAATTCAAATTCCATTCCATACCTAAGTAAACATGAGAAAGGAGAGCAATACATGCATAGAAACTATTTGCCCTACCATACTCCCCCCCCCAAAAAAAAGAAAGAAAGGAAAAAAACAAAAATTGTTTGGAAATACTCTGCATTGTTTCCAACAATTTTAAACGATTTTCTGTAGAGAATATTTTTATACACAATAAATACAGCATCCCCCACCCCTTGATTTATATATGTTAATGTTGGACATCAACCCACCATTTTTATTTTGCAGTGGTGTGACAAAATTCAGAAAGTTAACGTTACATTGGAGCCTTAAAATACATGTTTGTACTGTATTTATAGTTATATTCAATCAGTTACATGTACAGTAACTGTCTGAAACTTTTTAAATTTTTTTTTATTTATACAAGGTGTTGGTTTTCATATCGGGGGGAGCAGCGGAATCAAATATCTTACCCTCCAAATACATTACGGTGACATCACGCATCTCAAGGGTAAGCCACAGTTTCTGCTTTTTATCCATAGCAAATGAAGGAGTCAAATTAGAGTTACATGTATGTTCTGCCAACATATACTATTCTCCTTTCTGAGATGAAACAATGGGAGACTTTTGTGAATATCTGCCAGTAGAGTTCTGCAAACTTACCAGGTAAAAGTTGCAACTTCATAACTGCTGCATAACAATACTGCCATCAGGTCATCTGCTATTAAAATAATACGTGCAATGCTGATAGCATGGTAGCTCAAAGCAAAGCAACTCAAATGTCATCAAGAACTGAAGCTAATGGCATCAACTCAAAAACTATAGTTAAATTTGTCTCTTCGAGCTGTCGGGCTGAGCTCAAGACTCGCAAGGCTAAATTGTCAGGCAGAAACCATAAAATTGTTGAAAGGTAAGTAAATTCAGGCTACATGTTAATTAACAGAGCAGGATTCCATTGGATTGAATTCCCAACTGATAACGTTAATGCAGGCCCAGGCCTAGTTGCCCCAAGACTGGTTTTACTGTTCTGGCCAGTGCACCGTGCGGCCAGCATGCGCTGGGTAGTGCAGCCAAATAGCTCTACCAGTAGAGGGCGCTATATTTACAAGAGACAACCTGCCAGAAAACCCAATCTTGTAGAATCTGGCAGGCTTACCGGAAAAACTCAGAGCATGCCTCGTCAACAGGGCTCGAAATTAACGGGTGCAGGTAGCTAAAATGCACCTGTTTGTCTCAGAAGTGCACCCATAAATCATACTGACGGGCACAAGTACTTACGCCTGTTTGATTCCATGTACCTAAACATTTTTATCATTTGTTCTACTTTTGTTATGAAAAATACCTGAGCTTTTTGACTTCACTTCGGATCAGCCTAGTCACGGAACCATAATACGGTACAATTTTGTTTACTATGTCGCCAAGTGCACGCCGCACTCTCGCATGCGATGCATGCACACACTTGCACACCCGTGGCCATTGTCACGATTGTAGGGAAACTGGCCCTCGTGGGTAAATTCAAGCCAAATGAGTGGATTTGGCTTGGAGTTAAGTTTCACTGGTTCCAGTCATAGCTTGAACATGTGGTTTTGAACCATGCTCCAAAATAGCTGGAACCAGTGAAACAAAAGTCTCCACCTAATCCACTCGTTTAAAAAATGTTTGATTGCTGCAGTCAGTCCCCTTTTAAGTCTGTGTGCATATGCACGTTATAAAGGCCCAGTGCCCGACTTTTTGCATAGCGTTGCTAAGCACATGTTTGAGGTTCCTGTTGGTTGCATACTCACTACTTGTTGTATGTCACGTGCAACCCGCAAAAATAACAACTCGATCAAGGCTTTAACCACTTCATGCCGGGGCATTTTTCAACGTTGATGATGCTGGGCCGGCATGATTATCATTTTTTCCGTTTTCAAAATCCTTCAAAAATTCATCATTCCATTTAACGGTCGTTTATAGCTGCACGAAGTAATGTTTAGGCACTACTCTAAGTTGACATGTGACCTTTATTGACGCCCGAGATTGTGCGGCGTTATACAACTGTCTTTTGTTCACGAACCTGGCTCAGTGCATTGCTGACCTCTTTTCAATAGGGGCCAGATTAGCGTGCAGCGGTGCTGTGTGGCTCATCGCTGGGGTGGTGGAGCGCTTTTTGTCCCCGGTGGTAATCCGCTCGCTCTCAATGCCCCAAACCCTGGTATACGGTTTCAAAACAATGCTGGATTATCACCACTTTTGAGAGTGAAAAATGGTGGTAATGCCCAGCAGCCTGGTCTTTTGTTTGGAGTACGGTCTTTTGATACAGGGCCCTGTTTCTTTTGTCCGAGTTCGGAGACCCGGGCCACGCATATAAACCATACGGCTTCGATTCTGGAGTCCCCGGCAGGTAGTGGTTAATAACTGCCAAAGTCTAAGACATAAGTTATCACTGTCATTAATTTAAACAAGAGCAAAAGCAAGGACAAGTGTCTTTTAGACGTCTTCAAGTTTTTCGAGTTCCATTTTCGCTACACGGTTGTGTGTTGACTTTAATCATCCAGTCATCATTTCTGAATAAACCTTTACCTTGTGTGATTTCATTCTTGTTGGTAAGAGTGTTATTTCCTTGTTTTTTGGTGCCCTTTTTTTTGTGTGTGTGCATTCTGCAGGTGTTTACCGTCAGTGTTACGAGGAACAGTCAACTCTAAACTCCCCATTGGCCGGGTGGCTTAAGTGGGTGCATTCGCACGTTAGCGGCCCATATAATCCACACAATCCTAGCTGCATGAGGGGGCGGATTGTAATTTTAGGGGTTCTTCCCTTGTAACCGCTCGAGTGGGCGTTTCCTTATTTAAGCAGCCATTGTGGATTAAGGCCTAACTGCTTGAGTGGGCGCTCCGTTTCCTAAGGGCCAGCGACCATTTAGACCCGGTTTGAAAAGGGCCCCCCGGTAAGCTCGCCTTGTTGCAAAAACCCCTTTCATACCGGCCTGGGATGCTGGTCTGGTTGTTGATCTCAAACTTCTCCATCCTGGGGTCTATTGTTTGCAAGTAGTGGTACATGTAATCTATCCCAGAAGGAACCTGCTTGTGGTTTTAATCGTTCAGCTCTATACAATGTTTACAGTAATCCGCTTAAACCCCTATTCATCTGTGGAAGCATGGTGGGGGAAGCCTTTCATCAGGGACTTTGAAATGTCGAACCATTCTATCTCTCCGCCCTCCAACAGACAGCCTAATCAACTGAGCCAGTGCCTCCACCGACCGTCGAAGACGCAAATCGGCCGATTGAATGCCTATCGCTCACAAAAGCCAGCAGACCAACGGGGGTCCTCTTCCCCCCCCCCGCTGCCTGCAATGGCTACCGGCCGTTGTAGCTGTGTCACACACAAGGCCGCATCCTCGCTAGTACTGACCGACCCGAAACCCAGTCGGCCTCATACCGACAATGCCAGGACAGGCTCCCCATGCTCCACCAGGTCAGGCGTGCCTGATGAATTGGTCCACTTTACAGGGACACCCAAGAACTCACAGGGCACCTTGGAGCCTACCGAACTACTACCCTGCCACAGCTCCCGACTTCCACAACCCATCCGCGGCTCTGGCTTTCGGCTTGGTATACTTGGAAAACCGGGACCGTCCTTGGCTGGTCCCTCACCCCAAGAAGACGGCGTCTGTACCAGCCAAGATCTCGCCTGCTCCCAGGGGATGAACCTCCGACCTTACGCACCGTGTCGGCTGCTGATTCACCCTTGCATTCTAGACCAGAGGGCAAGTGTTCTGTTTCATCAGTTTCTTCAAAAGCCAACAAGAGACATCATTCCAAGCAACGCAAACGCTCTCCTGAACCATGGTTGACAGCGTTCCAGTCTATGGATGACAGCGTTCAAGCAGTCTATCAACGGATCTCATTCCTCCCTAGTCTGCTGCCTGAGCAAGAAACACACACCGGCTTCTACTGCTCCGGACCCGGACTTTCCTCTCCCGGCTCCTACAGCCCCAACCCGTTCTGCAGTCACAGACGACTACTCCGAGTGTAGAACTCATCGAAGCTTGAGTCAAGCTGGTGTTTCCCTTCTAGAACATTCTGTCATGTACTGGAGCACCCACGGATCTGACCCTGGCATGACTGTGCTTCAGTTCAAGCAGCAGACACCATCGTCAGGAGAAGATGATACTGATTCGGTGGGCAATCTCTCCCCATCTGAGGGCTGACTTCATCCTCTTCAATGTGATATGATCCAGGCCTTCGTCCACTGGGCTCCCTCTCCCCCAGAAAGGGATACCAGTCACACTTCCTTCAAATGCCACACAACCAGACTGGAATCTTCGGGTCCAACTTTCTCGGAAATTCCGCTCAACCGCTCATGCATCAAATCTTTGACTGAATCAGCAAGGCAGCATGTTGGTGCCCTTATCCCCCTAGTGCCCTGGCTTACTACCACTTCCCAACGGAGGACCACAATAACTTCCTATTGTAGGTTCCCAACGCAGCTAGAGACAAAATCATTGCTGACTTGGGCAAGCCTCCTTTGAAGTCGATATTCCGTGATGGTGACAAGTCTCGCCTCGAAACAGCATTGGTTAAAGTCAACAAGGCTTCTCATCTCGGTCTATGCTATTCAGCCTTCCTCCTTCTCCTCTCGGAATACAAGGCACGTGCCTGCGAGGAGAACTCGCCAGTGTCCCCAGATTTTGCTGCCCTGGTGCTTTGTGGCCTCAATGAGGGCCTGGCCCTCATGTTCGAGCAGTTCACCTGGATTTCCTGCCTGGCTTCCTCTACCTGCAGAGCCAGTGCCTTGGAGGCGATGCACATTCCTTGTGAAGGCGTAAAATCTAGACTTCAAGATCTCCTGCTTTCTGGCAAGGACCTCTTTTGCTAGCAAGTTCTTGGAATCTCTCAAGGCAGAAGCCAAGCATATTGACACCACTAAGAAGCTCTCTTTCTGGGAGCCGATTACTCCTGTCTTGCGACAAACTCAGTCGCGTCAGCCTCAGAATCCAAAGCCACTGCCACCCAGGACACAATCCTTTCATCCTCGGCTCTTGCAACCAACCCAACGTCGAGCTTCGACCCTTGCTTTGACCAAGCCAAGCCGGCCATGGTTGGGCCGAGGATCTTTATTGTGGCCCGGGCTTGGGGGCGCGGAGATCTAGTGCAGAAGATCTGAAGTTGGGCGTTGATGGGAGAGGCGAAGAGATCGATGTGAGGCTTCTCTAACATGGTGAAGAGGGTCTTGATGACCTCTGGATGTCCATTCTGTTGGGAGTATTTTGCCGTGGGAGAGAGCCTCCGCTATAGTGTTGTCGGGGCCGGCTATGTGGAAGGCTTTCAGGTTGACTGCATGTTCCCTTGTCAACTGTAGGATCTCCCAGCTGAGGGCACAGAATTTGGGGGAACGAGTGCCACCCTGGTGATTGATGTACGCCCCAGCTGTAGAATTGTCCGAACGACTTAGGACATTCTTCCCTTTGACGTACGGCAGGAAGCATTGCCGAGCGTGGAATATCGCCTGAAGCTCCAACACATTGATGT